TTCATGAATTGCATAAAGCATAGAGGTAAGTTTCCATCCCCTATCGGACCCTATGTCGATTTATATTCTATCGAATTTATTCCCCTTCTTTCGAAAGCAAAGAATAAATCATCTACAATCACATAATAATTGGCCAAATAATTATGGAAACATTCAAATCATATAAATCAAACATTTGTCTAATCGGAACTAATGTTGAATTTATGAAATAACGGAAATTTAAATCATCAAAAGGTTCATCAAATTCCTAATGAACAAAAACCCTAGCCTATAATCATCATTGCAAAATCAAGAAATTGAAAAACGAAATTAAAAGATAATAAGAATACACCCGTATGGAATTTCTTCAATCCGTGTGTATAATCTTCAATCCGTTTCGAGCCCGTGTGAAATTGAATCCAAAATCAAGTTTTTTGCCTCCAATTTTGGTCTCTTCCTTCTCCCTGGTCGTTCTCTTTCTTCATATGATGAATTTTGGTATTTATATTGCGTCCAAATTAAGTAGGAAAGGAGTTTCAATCAGAACGAAAAACTGCGCCCGAGAGTTGAAAATTACTCTATGCGACCGCATAGAAGGAATCTATGCGGTCGCATAGATCAAAAAGTTTGGGCTCATTGAGTCCCTGGAGCCCTCTATGCGACCGCATAGAAGGTTACACTATGCGGTCGCATAGAGGTAACCATCTATGTGGTTTGTTCAATTTGGTCCCTGAACTTCTTTGTTGCTTCTCTTGACTTCTTTCTTCGATTTCTTCATCTTTTCAACAAATTTTATCTTCCAATTGATGATTGATACCATCAATTCTTATGCCCCTCATTCGGCATATCTTTTGACTATTTGCGCTTTAGTCCTCCAACTTTCAATTGTCTTCATTTCAGTCCCTCTTCAATATTTTCTTCTTCCATTTGTTTTGCTTTGTCATTGAGCTCATACTTGGCATGTCTTCCCTCTCGTTTTTCATTTAGCTCAACTTTTCAATATTTGCACCTTTGGTCCTCGAACAATCAAATTGTTGCTTTTTGGTCCTTCTTCGGCTCTTTTCTCCTGAATTCCACAATTTCCATTGAATTACCTACAATGCATAAATTTAACTGAATTAAGTCACAATTCAACCATTTTATCCATGTTTAAGTCATGTTTATGATCCAAATAAGTGTGTAAAAACACACTTATCACCCCAGCTTTGGTGGAGGCCTTGCCACCTGAGATCCGAGGCGCTACTGAGAGTTTTTATAAATTCTGGACGGATCGGTGGCAGCTGCACACCTCTTTCTGTGTACCACGGACTTGACAAGGGCTCTTGTGAGCCAAAGTTTTAGGACTTTTGGCCTTGCACTGGAATGAAGGGAGGCTCTCACTGACTTCCAGACGAGGACCATCGCCTCAGAGAGGAAGACAGCCTCCCTTGTAGAGGAGCTGAAGGCACCTAGGGCCGAGGCTGAGGTATCTAGGGCCCAAAAACTTGAAGAATCGGCCAAGTTGAAGTCTGCCTTGGCCCAGATAGAGGCATTGAAGAGGGAGGTACATGAGTTCCAGTGTGAGGTTGCCTTTTTGACTAAGAAGGTGGAGGTTTGGCAGGGGCCCAAGATTCATACAAGTATATCAAGGGCCAAATTAAGTGGTATGTTGATGACGCGACCCATGCTAGGGAGGAAGCCCAAAATGCAAGGGAGGAGGCAGTGAAAGACTACATCGCTAACTTCCACAATACCAAAGAGTACTAGAGCTTCAACACTTACTAGAGGAACTTCGCTTATACCGTAGTGATGGAGCGGGCTGAGGAGTTGTATCCCAATCAGGATCTGTCGCAACTCAGGTCGGAGTTTGTGGACGAAGTGCCTCAAACCCCAGCTAATGAAGTGGTGGGAGATGAGGTAATAGAGGCCGAAGAAGCAATGTCTGATGCTCAAGCTTAGGATAGTTTTCTTTTCAGTTATTCACGATGTACTGGCCTTAGGCCCCCCTTTTGTAATCTCAGTTGAAAATCAATATAATCTCCTTTTTATTCAATGCTATTTCTTTCTCTCAAGTGTGTTGGCCTCGTTAAATAATTGAACATAATGTTAATTGAAGAACTAAATAACTTTAACTGGGTATCCTAACTCCAATCACTTAAACGAATAACTTGTATGCAAGCCTCACGAGTTATGACCAATATGGGACTTAAGCAAATGAATTGTACTTGAGCTTAATAATTGTAACCTAAAGGGATCCTAAGAATGGACCGTGTTGCAATTGAACTGGGAGTTTTACTCTAATACAAGTGCATGCCCCTCGGAGTTCAAGCAAGGTGCCCCGAGATGGGACCCCGGCCTCTACTCCAAGGTGACGACACTTCTCAACATGGTGGATGGTGCAGCCATGTTGAGGCTTCTCCCCTTGACGTTCCGCCTCGCCCAAAGGGAGGCATGTGCATGCGCCTCGGAGTTCAAACGAGGTGGTCCAAAGATGAGACCCTGGCCTCTCCTCCGAGGTAACGACGCTTCCCAATATGGTGGATGGTGCAGCCATGTTGAGGCTTCTCCCCTTGGCGTTCAGCCTCGCCCAAAGGGAGGCATGTGCATGCGCCTCGAAGTTTGAACGAGGTGGCCTAGAGATGGGACCCTGGCCTCTCCTCCGAGGTGACGACACTTTCCAACATGGTGGATGGTGCAGCAATGTTGAGACTTCTCCCCTTGGTGTTCAACCTCCCTTTGGCATGTGCATTCTTTTCGGAGTTCAAATGAGGTGGCCTAGAGATGGGACCCTGGCCTCTCCTCCGAGGTGACAACGCTTCCCAACATGGTAGATGGTGCAGCCATGTTGAGGCTTCTCCCCTTGGCGTTCAGCTTCGTCAAAGGGAGGTATGTTTATGTGCATCGGAGTTCAAGCGAGGTGGCCAAAGATGAAACGCCGGCCTTTCCTCTGAGGTGAGGAAGTAATGCGACACGTTAATTTAATCATGGAATTTTATTGAACCATAGAAATGTTATAAGAGCTGGGAAAGATCGTCCAGCAAGGTAGTACATTAATTGATAATATATTCTAAAGTGCTCGATATTCCATGGACGGGGTTGGGCCTTGCCGTCCATGTCTTCAATCTAGTAAGTCCCAGGTCGAACTTCTTCTCTGATTTTATATGGTCCTTCCCAGTTCGGACCTAGGGAACCAGAACCAGGTTCCTTTGAGGAGATGAAGACTCTCCTAAGGACTAAGTCGTTGACCCGGAATGATCTCTTCTTTACCTTTGAGTTGAAGTACTTCGTCATCTTTCTTTGGTATGTGGCGAGCTTCAACTGGAAGTCGTCTCTTCTCTCTTTGACGAGGTCGAGGTCGCACCTCCGAAGCTCATTGTTTGTTATTTCACTAAAATGCAGACGTCTTGGAGACGAAAGTCTGACCTCAATGGGGCTCATCGCCTCAGTACCATATGCCATGAGGAAAGGTGTTTCCCTGGTTAGCGTCCTCGTGGTGGTTTGGATTGCCCAAAGAACTTGTCGTAGCTCGTCCACCCAGGCCCCTTTTGACACATCAAGCTTCCTTTTCAGGACGTGTTTGATTGTTTTGTTCACAGCCTCAATTTGGCCATTTGCTTGTAGGTGGTGAGGCGTGGAGAAATGCTTCTTGATGTCGAGTTCTTCGCATAGTGCTCTGACCTTCTTGTTGTCGAATTGTCTACCATTGTCTGAGATGATTGAGTTGGGAATCCCGAACCGGCATATAATATTCTTCCAGAAGAACTTGGAAGTGTTGGCTTCTGTGACTTTTGTCAGTGGTTCAGCCTCAACCCATTTCGTAAAGTAATCAATGGCCACAATTGCAAAGCTTGCACCTCATCTACCTTTTGGTAGAGGACCTATGAGGTCCACACCCCATTTCGAGAAAGGCCAAGGGCTGGAGACCGCAGTCAAATCCTGCGACGGTTGCCTTTGTACCGAAGAGAATCGTTGACATCTGTCACACTTTCGTACCAACTCGAGGGCTTCCCTTTTCAGGGTAGGCCAGTAGCACCCTTGCCTCAATATCTTTTGTGCCAAAGATAGACCTCCGGAGTGATCCCTTGCCTCAATAACTTTTGTGCCAAAGATAGACCTCCGGAGTGATTGTCGCACATGCCCTCATGGACTTCTCTTAATATGTAAGTAGCCTCTTTTCCCCCAACACATCGTAAGAGTGGGGCGGAAAAGTTCTTCTTATAGAGAACATCATCAATGAAGAGGAAGTGGGCTGACCTTCTCCTTAGCTTGTAGGCCTCCAACTTGT